TTGTCTGTTCTCTGTCTTCCATCAGCAGAAAGTGTGCTGCATTACAGCGTCTTGTGTTTTTTCACTTCTATGTCCAAACACTCACTCCTATGCCTGTAACAGTGCTCGGCATATAATCGTTGCTCAAGAATTATTATTTAATGATACATACTAGGCACCTACCCCAGTGTTGGAGGTCACAGTCAAGTGGGGGAGACAGACACAATTATAACACAGGGTGGTCTCACCCCAATGCAGTACCCAGGACAAGAGTACAATGGGACGTCCACATACTGTATGTCCAAATATTTAAGTTATAAAAATCAAGCTACAATTAAAGGAAATCTGTTCTCTCCTCCTATCCTGACAAATATACCTTCAGAATGACCTAGAAGGCCAGGATCAAATTGAAACATTTTTGGAGTCCTAGGAGTTACAGACTTGAATGTGGAGAACAGGGAGACCCCAGCCCTCAGCCTGCCCTTCTATTCTCACTCCCAATTCTATCCGTCAGAGTAAGGCCCCTTGCGGGTGTACCTAGGGACACCCCAGCCTGCATGTTGCAGCTCTTTCTTCACCCCTCAGTCTATAGCTGCCCCTTAGCTGCCTCTCAGGCCAGGGGTGGGGGCATACCCTGGATGTGTGGTCTGCCCTCTGCAGGACCCAGGGACAGGGCCATATGGGCCTTATCAATCAGCTCAGGACCATTTGGGCAGGAAATTCTGGGTTCCCAAGGACCCAGAGCATGATTTAGAAGAGGGAAGTGCCAGATTTAGGCGGACATGTTCCCTTAGCCCCACGGGGAATGTCACAGCTAGAGTGATGCCCTCTAAAGCATCTCGGAGCGAGGGCACCAGAGTGAGGGTCCCAGAGCAAGAGTCCTGCTTGTCAGGGCTAAGATCAGATTGCACAGTGTGACCAGGGCTGTGACAGGGGAAGCACACAGTGGGGAGGCTGCAGGAGACCAGAGGGGCCCCTGGCCCATCCTGGAGAGTAGGAGATGACTTCCTCAGGGAATGGTTAAATGAACCATTGAGTCAGCTGCGGAAGGATGTGCTGGCCCTTTAAGAATGTGATGGAGGGTAGAGCAGGGATCCTCAAGATTTGCGTGGAAGGCTCTCTGGACCTTTCTCACTCTCACTACCACCTCCCCCAACTGCATCTTAAGGGTGTCCAGGGTCCTGGAGGCCACTTTGTCTAATTCACCCATTTCACAGAAGGGGAAACCGAGGTCTAGAAACATGAGGCAAGTTACCCAATTTCCCAGGATCAAAGCCTCCTGGCTCCCATGATGCCCAGCCCCTGGTCTCCAGAAGCCTCTGGCTGGATCAGTCTTTCCCCTCCCCCACTCCAGAGCCAGGGTCCCAGAAGGGAGGGCTTTGGCGTTAAACTAAGCAAATGTGCAAACATATGGGCAACCCTTGGGGGACAGTTGAACTTGAGATATCTGGGGTGCCAAGTGGAGGCGCAGTTCTCTGGGGGTGTCAGTGACCCCCCCCCCCCCGTCAGCATGCCTAGCCACGTGTGTGAGAGTGTGTTTGCCGAGAGGCAGCGGAGAGCGGCAAGGAGGCCAGTGGCTGGTAAATAATTGATCAGGACAGCTGATAGTGCGTCCCCAGAACTGCCCGCCAACCCCCAGCCCCCCTCACCCAGCTGCTCCCGCCTCCCTCCAGGCCCAAACCAGCTGGACCAGCTCTCCCGGTGCCGCCCTCCCGCCGCGCCCCCCCCCCCCCCCCAAGTCACAGCCTCTAGGGCACCTTCAGGCAAACGGGTGGTGGGTCCTGAACTCAGAGACAGCGCAGTGGGCTTTGGGGAGAAATGGCCCTGCAGAGCCAGGTGTGGTCTTCCGCCACACCTATGTAAGTGTCCAGGGTCAGGGGGGTGGTGGGCAGGGCCTGGAAGTGCCGGGGGGTGGGGTGGGGGGGGACACTGGCTTTGCTCTGGAGCCAAGAGCCCCAGCTGGCCTCTCCTGAGGGGACCAGGGGCGGGTGGAGGGAGGCAGCAGCCAACCCAGGGGGCTCTTCAATGTCCCCCTGCCCCAGGGAGGTGGGTGGGAGGTGTGGACCTCCTCCCCCACACCCTTTCTCTATGGGGATTTTCCGCGGGAAGGCTGCAAGCCCAAAGTCCAGCCTGCGGGTGGGGCTATGGCTGAGGATGGGGGGGGTGCCAGGGTCCCCGGCTCCCACACTCTGCCTCTAGAATTGCCCCTTCAGTGTCCAGGGTGGGAGGAAATGTTTGAGACCCTGCAGAAGTTAACAGCCCCTAAACTGAGAAAGAGGATGGCAAAATGGAGATGATCACCTGTTTGATGAAATGGCCACCGGACATTCCTGGTGGCAACGGGCCATGGACCCCGTTCTTGTATAGTTAGATACAAGCAACATCAGATGGGGTGCACGGGATGTTTTAGTATTCCATGCCTGAAGGCTTTTTAAAGCAAGAGCGTGGAGGGGCTCCAGAGGTTTGTAAAGAGTTCTGGGGAAGGGACTCCCCCCTCAGAGACCCCAATTCAGTTTCTTACCCTTCTGGGTCCCCCATTGCATTATTCACCAACTACAAACCTAGTTGCCTAGCAATGGGAACCCGATCTCCCCCAGCAAGGAAGAGGCAGGGAGATTATATCTTGGGGGTAGGATCTCGAAGGGGTGGCCTTCGATTCTCCCCCAGGGGCAAACCTATAAACTGGGGGACGGTGCCTGGGCTTTCTTTGGGGTACTCTGCAAATATGACTTCAGCCCACCGCCCCAACCAAAATCCGGGCGGGGCCTTCTGGCTGTCAAGCCAGATGGGGGTTCCTAGACCCCTACTGTGTTTTAGTGGTTTGAATCTGAGAACCTTGAGTTCTTGTGTTGACCCAGTGATCTTGGACAAGTCTATTTGCCACTTCTCAGAGCCTCAGTTTCTCCATCTGTAAAATGGGGGCAGTAAGACTACTTGCCTCCTAGAATTGTTGGGAGGCTGAAATGAGTTACTCCACGTAAAGCATTTACAGTGGTGATTGGCACGTGGTGCTCACTCAGTAAGAGTTGGCTAATTGTATTCTTGGCTGGAATGTCAACTCAGCAACCAGCCAGGGGCTCCAGTGTGTCATGATCAGGGCAGAGCGGGGAGGCGGAGGGGGCTGTGGGAGCCGGCGGAAGCATCATCCTGCACGTAGAACAGTATTTATACAGGAAGTGCTAAATAAGTGTTTAAGGAGCCCTGGTGGCGCAGTGGTTAAGCACTTGGCTGCTAACCTAAAGGTCCATGGTTCGAACCCACCAGCCCGCTCTGAGGGAGAAAGATGTGGCAGTCTGCTCCCATAAAGATCACAGTCTTGGAAACCCTATGGGGGCAGTTCTACTCTGCCCTATAGACTCTCTATGAGTTGGAATCAATTTGACCCCAATGGGTTTGGTTTAAGTAAGTGCTCATCTTTTTGCCTTCGTGATGTGACCAAGGAAGATCTGGTGGCCCCAGCTGGAGTTTGGCCAGTGGGAATGATGCTCACCCAGCAGGGCTATTCAAATTAATAAGTGCTTGAGTGCTTGCTCTGTGCCTGAGCTGGGCAGGCCCAGGTCTCTGCCTTCTAGATATCAGGCTGTAAAGCGCTTGCACTTAGTGGGTGCTCAGTAAATGTCTGTGATGATGAGGTTGATGTGACAGTGACTGTCCTCTAAGTACCCTGCAGTACTACAATCAGCCGCTGGCTTCCAGGGCAGCCAAGATGGGGTCGGGGCAGGGAGCTAGCGTGCTATGAGAAGGGGTGATGAGAGAGGAATCTCAAGTTAAACCTTAAACAGCAGGTCACCCTCCCAGCTCCCAGCTCAGAGTCCAGACCTAGGCCGCGTGACCCAGTGATCCTTGCCCCCAGGGAGGAGGATTGGCAGATGGAGGAGTTACCATGGCAGCGGCATGTGTCCGCAGCAGGATGGACACTTCTTTCCCCAGACTTACCTCCTGGTGCTTAAGGGATCCTGGGTCGGAGGCGAGGACCAGAGAGGGTATAGAGCTGGCAACAGACACACAGCGTGTTAGGGGCCTGGCAGGATTCAAGGGTTCCCGTAGGATGGACTGGAAATGGTTACTATGATTAATAATAAATATTATTAATCATGTGCATTATTAAAAGTATTATTAATAATAAACCATGCTACTATTTTTGGTGTTGAAAAGCAAAGATGTCACCTTGAAGACTAAGGTGGCCTGACTCAAACCATGGTATTTTCAATCACCTCACATGCATGCAAAAGCTGGACAATGAATAAGGAAGACCAAAGAACTGACGCCTTTGAATTGTAGTATTGGCGAAGAATATTGAGTATACCATGGACTGCCAAAAGAATGAACAGGTCTGTCTTGGAAGAAGTACAACCAGAATGCTCCTTAGAAGCAAGGGTGGTGAGACTACCTCTTACATACTTTGGACATGTTGTCAGGAGGGATCAGTCCTTGGAGAAGGACATAATGCTTGGTAAAGCACAGGGTCAGCAAAAAAGAGGAAGACCCTCAATGAGATGGATTGACACAGTGGCTGCAACAATGGGCTCAAGCTTAACAATGATTGGGAGGATGGCGCAGGACCAAGCAATGTTTCGTTCTGTTGTACACAGGGTCACTATGAGTTGGAACCAACTTGAGGGCACCTAACAACAACTATTTTTGGAGCACTATGTCCTAAGCCTTTCCCTGTTTAGATACTTCTTTACCAGAGCCCTAAGAGGTATGGGGGTCAAGCTATTCTGGTCCATTCTACAGATGAGGACACTGAGGCTCAGAGGGGTGATGTTAGGAGTAGAAGGGCTGTAACTCAGCCTTTAATGGTATCTGCTGGCTCCCCCTCATAGGACCCTTTCCTTCGGCCTGACTCCTCCGGGTGCAGAGCGGAAACAGGCAAAGAGCCTGGATTTGGTCGGTTTCCAAGCAGCTCAGGCATCTTGGCAGTGGGGGCAGGGAGGCGTTCAAGGGGCCCGCCTTGCTGAGGGGTGGAGGCTCTGGGACTCCCCTCCCTTCAATAGCCTGGGCCCTCTCCCAACAGGCCCATGGCCGAGAGCTCCCTCTACCGGCAGCGGCTAGAGGTCATCGCGGTAAGTGAAACTCTCCCAGTGAACACGCCCCGCACCCCGGGCACCCCTAACCTTGCTCCACCCCCATCCTCGCTTCCCCTCCTCCCCGGGAGCAGTGCCCGGCCACCCCACCCAAATCCTCAGGTCTCTTGCCCCTGAGTTTCTCTTTCTGGTCACCACCACCTGGCCCGTCCTGACCTCCCCACCCTCAGAAAGGCAGGGCCGCGGAACCTGCACTCACAGAACCTACACCACCCCACTCCTGAACCCCAGCCTCCCAAATACTCCATCGCTGTGATCCACCCCGTTTATCAGACCCCTAGCTCTCAAACTTGCTACTCTGGACCCCGTCTTTGGGCTCCTTTCTCACAGACCTCCATCTCTGACCCCCATCTTTCTGATCCTACGTGTTGTTCCCCACCTCACCCCGTTCCTCTGACCTTCATCTCTTGGACGGTCCCATCTCTGCACCCCCATGTCTCTGTCCCCCATCTCATTAGCCCCCCTATTTCTGACCTCATATCTAGACCCCGATCTCTGCACCCCCATCTCTGTGGTCTCCATCTCTCTGGACTCCGACTGCTGCACCCCTCTCTCTGACTCCCATCTCATTAAGCCTCATCTTTCTAACCCCCCAACCCTGCACTCTTTCTCTCTGGACCCTCATCTCTCTGGACCCCAACCGTTGCACCCTTATCTCTGACCCGCCCCATCTCACTAACCTCCATCTCACTGAGAGCCCCCATCTCTGCGCCGCCCATCTTTCTGGACCCCAACTCTGCACCCTGACTCTCTGGACCCCATCTGGACATCGCTCTCTCTGGACCCCATCCCTGCACCCCCATCTTTAACCCCCGTCTCTGACTCGCTTCATCTCATTAGCCTCCATCTCTGTGACCCCATATCTGATCCCCGCAACTCTGACCCCCCTCCCCGCGACTTCTCATCCCAAGGCCTCCAAGCACAGACTCTCCTTGCGCGCGGGCGCGGCCTCCGCAGCATCTCGGGCGCGGCCGGCGC